CCCTTTTCATTTTCTCTCTCTTTAACTCACCCTCAGTTCTCTTGCTTTTCTCACTCTTTCTCTTTCATTCACTCTCAGTCCTCTTTCATTTTCTCTCTCTTTCACTCCCCCTCAGTTCTCTTGCTTTTCTCTCTCTTTCTCTTTCATTCACTCTCAGTCCCTTTTCATTTTCTCTCTCTTTCACTCACCCTCAGTTCTCTTGCTTTTCTCTCTCTTTCTCTTTCATTAACTCTCAGTCCCCTTTCATTTTCTCTCTCTTTCACTCACCCTCACTTCTCTTACTATTCTTCCTCTTTCTCTCCCATTTACTCTCAGTCCCCTTTCATTTTCTCTCTCTTTCACTCACCCTCACTTCTCTTACTATTCTCCCTCTTTCTCTCCCATTTACTCTCAGTCCCCTTTCATTTTCTCTCTCTTTCACTCCACCTCAGTTCTCTTGCTTTTCTCTCTCTTTCTCTTTCATTATCTCTCAGTCCCCTTTCATTTTCTCTCTCTTTCACTCCCCCTCAGTTCTCTTTCTTTTCTCTCTCTTTCTCTTTCATTCACTCTCAGTTCTCTGTCTTTTGTTTCTGTCTTTTTTCTCTCCTCTCTCTCACTCATTCTCTATTTTCTTTTATTCTCTCTCTCTCTCTCTCTTTCTCTCTCACTCACTCGGGCTAACATTTCCTACTAACATGAACTGAAAAGATTATATTGAATCAATTGCTAGGTCTGCTGCTAGGAAATTTCACTTATTCGTGCAAGACAATTTTTCTACCCAAAATCTATCTTACATATTTATAAGGCTATTATTCGTCCGTATTACTGCCACATAGCGCCCGGTGCTCCTGCTATATATTGAGAGATTCTTGATAAAATCCAAAGAAGAATCCGCAATGTTATTGGTTCTGACCTGGCATCTCGACTTCAGTATCATTCCCACCACCATAATGTAGTTTCCTTGTAACTTTTCTATAAATATATTCATATTAATTCTTCTGATGACCTTTTCACTGTGCTGTCTAAACTTTATAAATTTAAGCGCAATAGTAGACAGACAAGAAAGTCTCATCAATTTACAGATGAACTAGCTAGATACAATCGTTATCTTCTGCCATCTTGATTCCTCTTTTATTGTTCTCGTTCCTCAATAATATTTCTCTGTTTCTTATTCTTTCATATTCAATAACTCCTTGTGTCTTAGTAGCTTTAATGCATTGCTTGGGGTGAAATGATTTTAAAAATAGTTACATGTACCATACATTTATGTTGTTGGGGGTGTTGGAAATCTTCAAGTGATGTGTGTTGTTTTCATCAGATAAAGCTCTTTGTATGTGATTTTTAACGCTAGGTTCTGATGAAGGATTGTCCGCATTAAGATCTAAAGGATTCAATCTATTTTTAATCCTTCATCCGAGAAAAAGGCTGTAGATAGCTGATAGTTTAGTCATCCATGAACGCGTTGGACGCCATGCATAACATTGATATGAGTGTCTAGATCTGACAAATATGATGATGGTTCTCAGGTTGGTATCTATGTTACACACGCGCATGCGCGCCCACAAACACACACACACACACACACACACACACACACACACACACACACACACACACACACACACACATATATATATATATATATATATATATATATATATAAAATTCCTGTGTAGGTCATTGCGTTCCCTTCACAGTTCATTCAAATACTCTTGAGAAAAGTATGAATCTATTATATGTCTCCCTCTTCCATTTATGAGTTTAACAGCCGAGCATATTGGAATTTTCGGTTTTGGGAGGGTAACCGATGCGCCACTTTCTCTCACAGGGTAACCATAACGTTGAATTCACACCCACTCTACCAACACGTCATGGTTCAGCGTCGCAGGATAAGGCCCATTACTCTTTGCATCTGACAAATTTGAAGAGGGTCTGACTCGTGTAAGGTAATTAAAAAATGGCTGTTATGAACAAACGAAATAGAGGTGGGGAATTGTGTTGGAATATATAAACTGGACGCGATGAAAAAAAGCTTTTGCCAAAAAGATGCTAATAGAGTTGAGTTTTTAATTTTCATCTATGCCTCCTAGAGTGGCATACAATGGGTTAACTGCTGTCAAACATAGACGTATTGGGATGGCCAAGGACACATTCCAAAAGCTGGGCAGAGTACTGCGAGACAGGAGGATTTCTTTGCTAAGAAAAGAATACTAAGCTGTTACGTGGAATCTGTCTTTATTTACGGCAGCGAATCTTGGACCATTTCCTCAAGCAAATCGAGGCGATAGCTGATGTGGTTCTACAGAAGGATGCTAAGGATAACTGAGCATGTGAGCAACAATGAGGTCTTCGACAGGTTGCAAACAAGGAGGAGGCTTATACTTAAAATCAGGAAGAGGCCGCAAAAGTTTCTGGGACACATAATGAGGGAAGAGGACCTGGGGAATCTGGTATACACGAGTCAAATAGAGGGAAAGAGAGACAAAAGAAAACAAATCGTGTCATACCTGGCGGACTTAAGCAAGTGAATGACAGAACGGGGTCTGGGGGAGATAGCAGAAGGCAGGAACTTGTTTGAGAGCTGCAAGGGAGAGAGGAAGAGGTGGAGAGCCATGATCACCTACGTGTTGAAAAGACACGGCTCATAAACAGAAAAACTATATCAATCAATCAGAATTTGATCGAATGATCAAATCTGACAAATCCTTGTGAAAGAGGTTGCTGATTAGGTCAAGCGTCTTCCTCGAACGTATATATATATATATATATATATATATATATAGCCAAAAAGTTAAATGGTTAGAGATCCTTGTGAATTTATAAAAATTATTAAAAAATATTTATAATACATGTATGTTTAGAGATAATTATTAAAACAAACATTGTTTTACTTCAATGTAGGTTTTCTGAAAACGCACATGTAAGTAAAAAAAACATTAATTTTAATAATTTTCCGTAAGCATATATGCATTATAAATATTATATATAAATATTTAAAAAACGTTAGTTTTTCAAAATCTTATTATTTATCTATTTATCTATCTGCACATATATATATATATATATATATATATATATATATATATATATATATATATATATAGTGTATATCCATATTTGAATAGACGCTTTTTTTAAACAGAATATTTATTAATTTTAGTCTACAGGTTTGAATATTCGAGAAGTCTGATTAAAGAAAAGATGCTCCCACCGTCAGGATTCCAACCAGTGCCACCCTTTATAGGAGAAAGCATCGTTAAGTACAACGTACTTTACACTGTGTCGGGCTCGAAGGGTGTCACCGATCAAACAAGGCCCGATAGTGCTTCATAAGCGCAAATCGTTCTTGTTCCATATTCCCGAAAGTTGATATCAGCTCACTTTCGTATCCTTAAGTAAACAAAGCAATTTCAAAAGAGGCAATGGATTTTTTAAATTTATTTATCACTTTAAACGTTATTTTCAGTTGATGCCCATATTTGAATAGATCTATAACAGTTAGCGGACACGGGAAGTCTATTCTTGTATTATTTCGAACTATTGTTCCCATCTTCGTTGATATAGATATTATTATAAACGCAGTGTTTCAACGAGACGGTGATGTAGTGGATGTAAGTGTTGGTTATACATTTGTTACTGTCATCTAGTGGTCCTGAGTTCAATCCTTGGTCCTGGCCGTGACGTATCAACTCAGCAGTGACGAACATCACAAGGACAAAATGTCACAATAATCAATAGAAATCCCATATCAACAATTTAATGGACAAATGATGAGGGTACTTGGTCAAAATGTTGTTTACAATAACATCTACATACACTACATTTCGAAGAACTTCACAAAAAAAAATAGGATGGGGTGTATTTGACAGAATAAAAAATATAAAAGAGCTCTTAGAGTCATTGAAAAAAGAATGGAATCAATTATCAAACTTATACTTTGAGAAACTTTTGCAACGAATGCCAAATATTTGTGCTGCAGTAATCAAGGCTAAAGAAGGATATTTTGACAAGAGCAAAATTTAATCATATTTTTTTTCTTTTTGTCATAATTAAATTTCTAATAAAAAAAATCATGTCTTACTTTTTTTTAAATATGTATAATAATTTTCTCTTATTTAAATTACAAAACAACAACTTTGGGGTCAATTTAAAAAAAAATTACCCAGGGTGTCTTCAAACTTTTGAAGTGTAGTATATATCAACCAAGATGAAAAAAAATAGTTCGAAATTGATGTAATGGAATAACTAGTCACTCCCATGAATGATTACATTATAGGTAGTAAGTACCTATAAAGTCGACTGTCTACGAGAGACTTGGACCGAGGAGGTGAGAGAGACGACACAGGTACGTCCAACCTTCCACTTAGTGGTACTCTTTACTAGATTGACCTGTGTCTATAACTGTACCGTATTTCATATTGTACTGGTTGGGTACAATAAACCTTTCTTATATTATCCACCTGGTGTTATGTGTTTATTCCCTTAGTACGGAATATGAAAGAAATTATACTAAATATTCACAATCACTCAACTCAGAAATGAAATACTAAAGAATTATAATTTCATGTAAAATTGTTTCAAGAAAAAATATTTTATAAATTTCAGTAACATAAGTTTTGGTAAATGATGTTTCATGAATGGAAAATACCTTATTTCATCGTTATCATTACCATAAACTTAAGGCTGCTTAAGATTAAAAAGAAAAACTGCCAAAAGGCTGACGGATTTTATAGCGTCAACGGCCATCTATCACAATGGGATAGATTCTCTTCCATCACATATGTATGCAGTCAGTGCAATGGTGCACCGGCATCACCGAGCAGAGGCCTTCTTAGACTGAAGACAACTGTTGGGACAGAGGGTTCTTCCCAAGAGAATCGTTGACCACGTCACCGTGACCAAAAGGCGAACTTAGAAGACATCGAGCGTGGTTTGACCGATGTCTGGGCCTGGTTTACTTGGCCAAGACACGCTACACATGAATGAATACCTTGCTGGCTTGAAACCAGATAATACAGAGGATACCGGTACTCGTTAGATCACCGAAGTTAAGCAGTGTCAAACCCGGTCAGTACTTAGATGAGGGACTGCTTGGGAACACTGGGTAGAATAATCGACCTCCTAAAATTCGAAATATGCGCCGACTTTAAATAAAGTACAAGAGGTTGATAAGTCGTAAAAAATAATCAATCAATAATCAACCCATATATAGAGAAAGAGCAGGACAGGTACTCAGCTGCCCAACGACTCTACGGCCATACTCGCTGTATGGGACAGATGATGATGATAATGATTTCTTAGTGTAATAATGTACAGTGTTACAGTTGTGGAATACTTACGAAATACAAATCTACGTTCGCAATGGTATGCTATTCTTGATTGAAAGGTTGCTCTATGCTATGCGCCACTACCTGAGTATCATAAAAATCAATAATTTCGCTTTGTGGAAGATGAATATAAAATCTAGTCCAAGCTAGTGCGCGAGACATCGACATATTCCAAACATGTGTCAGAGGTCAGCGCTAAAGGTCAGAGTTTGAAATGTTGATATTTTGGTGCAGGTATCTCCTCCCGCCCATGTCTGGCGCATTAAAATCATCCTTCTCACCTCATTTGGATTTGTATGATATTAAGAACAGTGTTTCAAATATCCTAAAACTTAAAATTATATCGTAACAGCTTTCATTCGCTTTTTACACACATACTCTTAGACTGATATTTCCTTCATTCTTTTCATTCTGGTCTTGCATCGTTTATTAAATTCGCACGATTTTTTTTTCTTCATTTAATGTCTCTCTCCTTTTCTTTATTCCGTTTTCATGATATTCATTCAAATCTATGGTTTGATTTATTTGTCTCATTCATCATTTAAATTTTTCAATCTTTTTTCATTCACACATTCAGTTATTCCGTTCGTTATTCGCTCTTCCTTCATTTCTTATTTCTCCAAACTATTCGGTAACCCTTTTTATCTTTTAATCAAATCCTCTTGTTGTTGTTTTTTCAATAAATTTCCATCGTTTTACTTTAAATTCTCTCATTCTTCATCCGATTCTCTTATGTTTATTTCAGTCAATTCTTCATTCGATATTCTTACAATTTCGTTCATTAAATTTTACCGTTCTCAGTTCTTATTCTTTATTTCAGTCAATTCTAACATTCTTTAACCGATTCTCTTATTCTTTTTCCTTAAACTATATCGTTTTTCATTCGATTCTCATTCTTATTTCATTATAGTCTTTCTTTATTAGAGTTTCATTATTTTTCACTCAGTTCTATCGTTCTTTATTCTATTCTCTTATTCATTCTGTTATTCTTCATTTCATTTTCTCGTTTTATAATTCGGTTATGTCAGTTTTTCTTCGATTTTCATACTTTCTTTAAATTCTCTCGTTAGTCAATCTGTTCTTAAATTCTTTCTTCCATTCACAGAATTGTAAATTATTCCCATTCTCTTCGTAATCCATTAGTAAGAATGAAGTTCCATTTGAACAGTTTCTTGCCACGAACAGACTCTCGCAGGATGTTTTCACAAACATTACAATCTTAACTACTTCAAGTGCCAGGTTAACCGTTATCTGCATAAACGCCATGAACTTCATTTTTTATCTTTTCTTTTCCTTTTCACTCGCACGGCAACAAACAGTAACCCTATACCTTGAGTGGCTCTTGTGCCTTGTATTGGGTGAATATCTGTATTAAAAATCCTCTCCGTTTCTTCTATACTATTTCAAGTGCAATTTGGGACTAATCAAAATTATTTTGGGACTAAGCAAGTTCAAAATGGAATAGTCAAATTCAGAAAGCGACGTAGCAAATTCACAATGAAATAAACAAGTTTGAATTAGGAATAAGCAGATTCATTAGGGAAAAATGTTTCGAACTTATCTGCGCGTTTCAATAAACAAATATCATGGATTAAAAAATCAACTGGCCGGTAAATCAGATAATTAAAAATCGGAGCGCCTCGTTGCGTAGATTTTACTATAAATTCCTTACAAGAGGCTATTCTTGAACGGATAAATTTGTGTTAAAGTTAGTTTCTGGCACTTTCATTGGTAAGACAGAGAGAAGAGAAAAAGAAAGAAAGAGATTGATAGACGGTATATAGTGTTAAAAGAGAGAGAATAAGAGAGAGTTATTCAAAATGAAATGATTTGGGAGAGAGCAGGGCAAATCTCAAAAGTCCTAAGAAAAAAGCAGCAAGGAAATACTGAATGCATATATCAAGACAGATTTTGAAAAAAAGATAGGTATATTGAGAGATTTTAAGCGCTGAAGTTGCATCCAAAAAACATACACCTTTCATGAATTTTCTTGATTTATTGATTACCCCTAGAAGATAAAACATTTCAATAGTAAAGTTTAGTTGAACATTATTATTTTATCATGGAGATATTTAATTTTAAAATCTTTTTAGCAAAATAATCGCTCAGTCCGAAATTGAATTTACCTAATCCATTTTGAACTTGCTAAGTCTCAAATCAAATTTGCTTATTCTATTTTGAATTTGACTATTCCATTTTGAACTTGGCTATTGTATTTTGAACTTGCTTAGTCCCAAAATGACTTTGATTAGTCCCAAATTGAACTTGAAATGGTATAGTTTTTATATCAATTATTTCTCCTTCCTTTCTTCTTTTCCTCCCCCTCCCTTCATTTTTTCTTTTCTTCCTTTCTTCTTTCTTTCCTTAAAGAGAACTTTTTTTTCTTTCTTTCTTTCTTTCTTTCTTTCTTTCTTTCTTTCTTTCTTTCTTTCTTCCCTCCCACCCTCCCGCAATATGCTTTCCGTTATCTCTTTCTTCATCATCTTTACCTTTCCTCCGTTATTCTCTTTTTTCTTCTTTTTCCTTTAAGCCGCTCTTTTCATTTATCAATATATATATATATATATTTTTAAGGACTTTCTCTTCATTCTTCTTCTCTCTCTATTTCTTCTTCTTTCCTCTTTCTCCACTCACTTTATATTTATTTACCTTTTCTCATCGACCTAGTTTTATTGATTTAGGTAATGACCTCAAGTTTAACAAGTAATCTCGAACACCCGCACTAAAAAAAGACACCGCAAAATGAATCAAAACACCCAGTTATTTGCGAAAAGTTTTCAAGGCGAATCGACTTGCGAGACACCATGCAAACCGCCCGCTGTCACCATCGTCAGAAGCAGCAGTCACCGTCATCATTAATATCAGCAGCAGCCAGGGCAAGTGTAACATCAACAATCAGTCAAGATGCAACAACCTGAGAAGTTTTCCAAGCTGAAAAGAGATTCCCACATCTTTGAGAACCGTCAGACTAATTTGATCCATATGCTACGGAGGCCACCGCAGCTGGGCTCTTTCATCAATGCAGGCCGGTATGCACGCATCCCCCCCCCACCCCCGAACAACACATACATACTCGCACAGACATAGACGCATCCATATGGAAATACATATACAATCAGGCATAGGTGCATGCAAGGGAACTCCTGTTCTTATATATACAGACACACAAACATACAGATACATGCTCCATACATACACATACGCACAACTATATATATATATATATATATATATATATATATATATATATGGTTGAGTGTGTGTCTGTAAAAGCATTTATGGTGGGATATAAGGTCAAAGATTTAAACATCTCTCTTTCAATGGCTATCGTTGTATATATATATATATATATATATATATATATATATATATATATATCATTCACTCACTCATTCATTCTATCTATCTATCTATCTATCTATCTATAGATAGATAGATAGATAGATAGATAGATAGATAGATAGATACAATATGGGCATATGAATCAACACTGGATGGTGACTGTCAGTTTCATGCAATCATCAACGTCTCTCTCTCTCTCTCTCTCTCTCTCTCTCTCTCTCTCTCTCTATATATATATATATATATATATATATATATATATATATATATACAGTGTAACCCGGATATAAGAGAGATTTTCTCTGGTCCCAAATAAGAGCCTGTGTTAATGTATATAAAATAGACCAAACCCGGATATAAGAGAAACCCGGATATAAGAGACTTCGTCTCCGGTCCCGACACCTCTCTTATATACGGGTTACACTATATATAATTAATACAAGTGTAAAATTTGTCACTTAGCTGATTGGTGTTACCCTCATCCAGCATCCCGATTCTAGAGTTTTGTAGACAGCCCTCCAGCAATAGCTTCATCCACTCGTCAAAGGATAGCAGAAATTGTATACACACACACACACACACACACACACACACACACACACATACATATATATGTCTATATTTCTGAAATGAGGTATTATGTACAGTATTTACATTAGTCGGACTATTGTTCTCATCTTTGTTGCCATATTTGTCACAACGTTTCGGCCGTTTTACGCTCCGGCCTACTTCAGGTGGTTGGAATTTCGAACTGAAACCTTTGTTTCGATCACTGGGGTAGACTGTTCTAGTTCCACTAAGTTGCAATATGAACTCTGGTAAAGACATGCAATGATAACAGCAAAATTGCAATATGAGCACTGAAAACATTAGGTTTATAATACTCAGAAGTTCATACCCAGAAGTTCTCTATATAAGGACACATGGCACAGTGGATAAAGGCGTTGGTTAGATCCAGTGACAGACCCAAAGAAGGTGAGTTCAATACCTGGTTAAGGCAGTGGAGAACTTTCATAGGGAAAAATTAGCAGGAGATAACTGATAACTGACATCCATAAAACATGGCATGTGGAACTAGAACAGTCTACCCCAGTGATCGAAATAAAGGGTTCAGTTCGACATTCCAACCACCTGAAGAAGACCGGAGCGTACAACGGCCGAAACGTTGTGACAAATATGGCGACAAAGATGAGGACAATAGTCCGACTAATGTAAATACTATATATATATATATATAGAGAGAGAGAGAGAGATGTGTAGCTTTGAGTGTGCCATCAATTGTGATTTGCGTGTTCAATTTCCAGCAGTGTTCGTTGCATTCGGTCTCGCACACAAACCTTCAATAAATTGTATCTATATAAATATAAATTATATCTCTATAGAGACAAAAGGAAGCGATTGATTTTATTTATTAAATCATAGCCTAATTATTAATTT